CATGCTGTCTTGAAGGAGCTGTGGTGCCCCAGTTGGGAACACAAACAGCATCCAAGAACTTGCCAGAAAAGTGACTCACCACGCTTCACACCAGATCCATGAGGAATGCGTGTGGGTGACTTTCTGACAGCCCTAAGCATCCCACTCATCCCCATCCCTCCTAACCTCTGTTCCATCAGACTTCACATGAATAGTATCAACCACTGATACTGCATGAGTAAATGTTACCTGTGGGCTGTAAGGTTTAATCATACCACATCTTCAATGATCCTCTGCATTACAGACAGTCCCCAATATATAAGGGACCAAACTAAGCTTTTGGGGAGGTTTTCCAATGGCCCCAAAGTGACACTCCTTCAGTAGAAAGCATATTTCAAAGTTTTAGTTTAAACCTTTTCCCAGGCAAGTGATATTAAGTATCGTGGTGTCTTGTTCTGTCAAATGCAATGAGCCTCCTGCCAGCTGTGTGAGAAGAGAGAAAATAACCCATGGTTTCCGGGGCAGGGCCACCAGAAGCTTCCAGATACAGATAGCCTATAAATTACTGAGGTAGCCAACACTCCGTGGTAGCAATGGACATTGTATTCGATGGCCTTACCCTACTTCATGCTAAGGCAAGCATTCGGAGCCCACTTCAGATCTTCAAGGATAAGCTGGGGACAAGCTGGGTATTTGGAAGGCAGGCCTATCAAATGCATTTGAACTGATGCCATTTTCATCCTGAGGTGGGCTTCGGGATGCAATTTCATCATAAGGTTTCTTACCTGTCTCTGTGTGGTTTTCCAGTTTGAAGTGGAGCCTCTTGAAGGCAGGAGTTAAAATAGTCTTATAGGCTATTTTTCGTCCCATAGCATTGTTGGTGCTGAAGTCATAGCAAGCACTAGGAAAATGCTCACATTTTTTTTCTTCTCCGTATCTGTTACTCTAGCCACACTTCACCCCCCCCCCCACATACACGAACACAATTTCTGTGTATCTACATTCCACCTGTTTTTCAAGATTAACCAAAAAAAAAAAAATCTCTGACCTCATTTCTTCCATAAGCTAATGCAATTTCCTTTAGAAAAACGATAGTTTTTAAAGAAAATTTAAGCAAAAAATCTTCTGCTTCATGTTAGTCACGTGTGTACATATCTCTCTCATCATTGAAAATGGAGATAATCACTCTAAATCAACCTTTCAAAATATGAAAGAAAATAACTTATAATGCTTCGGGTGATGGATGTACAATTCTTTCATGTCCCCCAAATCTTTATAGCTCAGATTCTGGGTAATGCGACTGTTTACACAGGAAGGGAATCTCACGTTTCAGAGAGATACATCTTTCTCCTAGGCACACTGGGGGTCTGCTACGGGGTCTGCTGGCTGGAGACACTTTCGGCGATTTGTGTGGTCTACTGAGGGGCCTCAGGTTAGACATGAGGCAACGGGAATCTGCAGGAAATCGAGCCATAAGGAAACCAGTGCGACTTTAAGTCCCATGGGTAAGGAAGAAAAGAGCCTCACCCCAGGGTAAGGTCCAGTAGCAGAAGGCTTAATTGTTACCATGTCGTGGTGTGAACCTGCCTCACCAGTGGCTCTGTCTGGGCTAATGGAAACCCGATGCCGTCAGCTTCCTGAAACCCACCAGGCCAACTTCAAACACTATACAGCCCTTCGGCCTAGGCAAGCAAGCTGCTGCCTCAAATGCAGGTACTTCCTCTCCTCACCACCCCTGGCCCAGTGGTTCAATTAGGCTGCAGCTGGATCCAGCAGGACCCAGCAGGACCCAGCAGGACCATGTGGGCCTCTGATTTTCCCACTAAGCACTGCCTTCCAACAACCTGCCCCCCCCCACACACACACTCTTGGAAGTCTTCCAGAATTATCTCAGCACAGAAACCCTGCGCTTGCAGACCTGAGAGTGAGAAAAGGCTTAGAGGTCATTTGTTAGCAAATTGCAACCTTGTCGTGTAGGAGCGCTTCCCAGGAACTGCATACACAAGCCGGGAAATCGTGTGGAGAATTGCTCCTGCATTAGATTCGGCTAGGCAGTGACAGTTCACCAAATCCGAACCTTCGAGGTCGGATTCCTTTTCCTTACAGAAAAATGCTAAAGTAGCCAGGCAAAGAATCCCTCCATTTATGGGACTGGAAGTGATTGCATGATGCTTGTGGCCGGCCCAAAGCCCCAGGTACAGGCCAGCATTATCCCAGTCTCCTAGCATCCTGGGCTGTGTCTCTTACCTCAGTCTCCAGAGACTACCCAACCTTGATGTTTTTCCTTTGTTGGGCTTTCTAAGGCGCCACCCTCACCCCCTTTTTAAACAGCACTTATTGACATGTGCGCACTCCACATCCGGGTGAAAAGGTAAGTGTTCAAGATAGACGGCAACAGCTGGGATAAACGGCCTTTTGAAAGGCTGTCTCAAAGAAACGCATCTCTTGATATTCGGAGCATTTGTAAGCAGGATGGGCATGAAACTTAAGAAGATCGTGTGATAACCAGACGTTATCCTGCCCACACAGAGATGAGCTGTAGATAGCCTACCAGGTAGCACTTCCGCCCAGGCTCTCCTCCAATCAATCTTTATTCTTACCCAGGTTTTCTGTGGATTTTTTTTTTTTTTTAGAACAGAGCTCGCTTCCCCTGAGGGAGAGACTTCAGGAAAGATCTGGAGTTCCTCCTGTTAAAAACAGCCACCCTCCGCCTTAGCCCGTATCAGCACCATCGGAATCGGAATCGGTATCCTGTCGGAGTAGATTTACATTGTTCCGAAGTCCGTTCGCAGGTGGCCCTGCAAAGATACAGTTCCTAATCAGAGTTTTTCTGAAAGAGAAAGAAAAATAGTCCCAGAATCGGGGGATGGGGACGTTGAGCTCTCTTTTTGACAAATAGGCTCCTTTTGTCGAATATTCTGCCTGGCTTTGCATACTCAAGAAATTTCAGTAACCTGATAGTTAGAAAATGCTTGTTGTCCCAGGGTGTTAGCTCTCAGTGAAAGGGCCCAGGCATTGACTAAATGCGTTATTGGTCCTTAATTTCTTTACCTGATAATAGCTCTCTATCGTGAAGATTATGAAAGAAATCATCTATGTAAAATTAGCTCCTGGCAAACAATGAGCAGTCAGTTTCCCATTTTCTTTGATTTTAGCTACTGAGGGGATAGGACAGGGGTGGGTGTGAGATTCTGAACTGGGTTCAAGCTCTTGTTCCTTTATTCTTCCTGGGTGCCCTGAGGCATGTCACATAGCCTGGAACTTTCCCTGAACCTCAGTCTCCTGCTCTGTAACATAATGGTAACTCCCCCCCAACCCCCCCCCCCCCCATCAGAAAGGGTTTATGGAGCCAAATGAGAGAGTAGAAGCCTGCTCAGAGACAGTTGTATGTTTCCAAACAATGAAGCAAAAAGACACACTGATTATCCTGAATAAATATTCATCGTAATCGAATAAAGTGAATCAAGTACTGTGGATATCACAAGTACACTGCAGAAACTAAAGAAAATGTTTATTTCATAGAGAACAATTACAGTGCTTCTTTTTCTGGTTTTAACTGGTTTCCTTGAGATTCTTTTTCTTTCTCTTCCTCATTTTATTTTTATTGTATGTGCATTTGTTTGTTTTTGAAACAAGTCTCATATAACCCAGGCTGGCTTTAACATGTACCTGAAATTGGCCTTGAACTCATGATCCCCCTGCCTCTGAGCTTCCACACACTAGAAAGACAGGCATATACCACTATGACCAGCAAGGACCTTGACTCTGCATGAAGTAATTCATAGAGAAATACCAAGTATTTCATGCTCCAACCACAGGCTCTTTAAACTACAAAGAGGAAACTCAGAAAAACAAAGACAACAGAAGCTCAAAATATGTGGATGCCCCAACAATGTCCAAACAGGAGATTATCTGTGCTCATCTTTCTCTGTTTGGGCTGCATGACTTTCTGCAAGGGACCTCACACTGCAGAACGCAGTGTAGGTGAAACAGATGGACAGCTTCTTTGTCTCCCGATGTCATAGCTTATCAGTGTTGATGGACAGAGTCCACAAGGCTTTTCCTGATTCCCTGGCTGGGCAGAAAACACATTTCTCTATTTCCACCATATCTTTTTTTCCTTGCAAAGGGAAAGAGCAACACTGAACAATTTCTTAAGGCATTGTGCATTTCTGTCACCGGCCAAATTCCATCTCTGGAACTCTGATTTTCATTGTGTGCCCAATTGTGAGGGGCTCCAAAGTCCAATATAATCAATTTCTGATGCTTTTTTTCCCTCCCAAGACAGGGTTTCTCTATGTAGCACTCCTTGCTGTCCTGGAATTTGCTTTGCAGATCAGGCTGGCCTCTAACTCACAGAGATCCACCTGCCTCTGCCTCCCAAGTGCTGGGATTAAAGGTGTGCACGCGTGTGCGCACGCACATGTGCGCGCGCGCGCGCGCGCACACACACACACACACACACACACACACACACACACTCCCTCAGATCCATTGGTTAGTAGACTTTGAAGAAGATACCTTTCTGTAAGTTATGGCTTGGTACTGTTATGTCACAGACTTCCAATATCTATGTCACAAGACTTAGTAGAATGTATTGTTTTTGTTCATTTGTGAATCAAGAGGAAAAAGCAGAGGAGGAAACATAGTGCAGTTGTTAGAACTCCTACTTAGTGTGCACAAAGCCCAGGGTTGATTCCCAAAGCTGAGTCAACCAAGCATGGTGGCACATACTTATAATCCTGGTGCTTGGAAGGTAGAGAAGTGCAGGAAGATCAGAAGTTCAAGGCCATCCTTGACTACATAGCAAATTCAAGATCAGCCTCAGTTATAGGAGACTCTAACACAGAAAAGGAAAAAATAGCACAATTTTGAGGTAGAATTTCATTTCTTCATAATAAAATTAGTAGCTAAAAAATCAATAAATTAATATACACTTTCATTCCATAAGTTTTTAATGAGTATTTGTTGTGTACCAAGTAGACACTGGAAAGTGACACCAGCATGGTCCCTGTCCACAGTGTTGCATTCTGGACGTGACAATGTTGAGTGTAGCACACTGTTCGGCCTGCAGCAGGAGAGACTGTCACAAGCTCTCCAGGCAAATCTGAGGCAGCCCTCAGAGCCCAGCTGGAGTCACACTGTCCTGAATCCTGATTCTCCATCCTCCCACCCAGGTACTAACTGGGCCAGCGGCTTCTCATGGTATTTAGAGGTCACGGTGATAAGTCTGAGAGACTTAGCCACTCTGTAGCACTGTGCTCTTGGGTAAGATATTTTATCTCCCCGTTAATCTGCAAAATATGGCTTCTATTACCCATCTCACAGGGCCATTGTAATGTTCAACTAAATGAACAGTGCCTGAAAAACAGCAAGTGCTCCGTGAGTGCCAGCAATTGTCATTGGCAGTTGACCTCATCTCCTGTTCTGGCTCCACACACAGCCTAGGGGCTTGGCAGGGTGACTTTCCTGTCCTGTGTCGCCTGCCACTCTCTCCCTGCCCCAGCCCCGTGAGGGAACCTCAGGTTCCCCACAGCCAGGGGAGACTTGCCATTTCTCCACTGGACACGAAAAGCTTTCTCCAGCAGACTCCCCACGGTCCTGAGTGTCCACAGGAAGCCCTGCTCCTTGCTCTCCTTAGGACGGAAGAGCTTTAATTCTGTGACTTGAAACCCTCTCGAAAGGTTTACTCTGTTCTTCTCCATCAGATTTGAACGGCCATGCGGCCACAGGTCAGGTCTTCTCTGCATGCTAGATGGACAGGTGGACGAGTGAGGGACAGACAGTGGTGGGACACAGGGAGCAGGGTGGCGCAGTACTTGAGACAATCTAATTGTGATATTCAATTCAATGACAAGCAGGGAAGAGCAGTGAACCCACTGGCGGTCACCTTCTCCTGACTCTACAGCACGCCACTGTTGGACCGAAGACGTAAGGGACACAGGAGCTTCACAAAAGCCAGCGAACAGCTCGGTTTCCTATGCTGTCACCACCCTGAGCTCTGACTGTACCAAGCATAGTTTCAAGATGGCGTGTGCTGCTGCATTTCTCCAGCTGAGGGTTATATCCTGTGGTAATGACATTTTCAAGTTTGGAAACTCCAACCCGAACTCTGCAGTTGTCCTGAGGAGCATTGCCTTGAGAGGACCCTTTACAACCGAAATGATACTTCTTTTCTTTCTTTCTTTGTTTTCTTTTTTGATACAGGGTTTCTTTATGTAGCTCTGGCTGTCCTGGAACTTGCTCTGTAGTGAATGAGAAGGAGGATATGACTGCTTCAAGGTAAGGTTGAGGAGATATTACACTATGAGGGAACAGTCTGAGGCGTCTGAAAAGGTCCGGACTGAATCTGGCCGTGAGAGGAGAGAAGGATGGGGAACGCAGGAGAGGGAGAGAAGAAAGAGGAGCAAAAGAGAAGGAGGACGAAGACCAAGAGAAGAAAGAGCCGAGGACCAAAAGGCCAAGCGAGTGCATGGCCGGAATGATCGTTATAGAGGAAAGCGAAGCTGGGGAAGGAAGCGAAGCCCTGCCCCTGGGTTGGAGAGGTTTAGGGTGGGGGCGGAGTGAGAAGTACTAAGACTGAAACTTGTCCTGAGTTTCTTTGGGACCTGATATGTGGACCAAGCTGGCCTCGAACTCACAGAGATCCCCTTGCCTCTGCCTCCCATGTACTGGAATCAAAGGCGTGCTCCACTCTACTTGGCTGCATTGTATCTTGATATAGTGGGCACTTCTCCAAAATGTGTTCTTGGAACAAGGGCAATGCATAGCATTTTAGAGTGCATGCTGCTCTTCCTGAGGACCTGGGTTGAGTTCCCAGTACCTGCATCAGGCTACTTACAACCACCTGTAAAGCTAGGTTTGGGGATCAGACATGCTCTTTTGGCCTCCGTGGGCACCTGCATGCTCACAGTGCATGCACAAACACTCAGACATAGTAAATAAATAAATCTTTATACAAAGCAAAACCAAAATGCATTCTTTCTTTTTTATACCCTTCAAAACTAAGTATTGAAGATGCTTTGAGGTTTTCACCCTCTGGCAAAGCATCAACTTCTCCCAGGGAAGCCATCCAGAGGAGCGTGTGAGAGTCTAGGCCTGGGAAATAGACAAGCCTAGTTTTCAATCATGGCTTTCTGCTCCTAATCGTAGTTAAGGAGCACCACCTTTGCCCCCCTAAATTGATTTGGAACAGGAACTCAATTAGAACTACCCCATATGGGTGTTTCTAGATTACCTGAGACAAACCAGATATGATGACTAAGCCTATAATCCTAGCATTTGGGAAGAGGAGGCCAAAACTCCAGAGTTTCTGAGGTCATCCTTGACTACATGGTATATTTGAGGCCAGCCTGGGCCACTTGAGATCCTGCCTCAAAACAAACAACAGAGCAATGATGAGCCTATAAAGCTCTGTTGTGTGGACCTTGCTGCAATCATATCTACTATCGGATGTCAATCATTACCATTCTCAACTTTCTGTCTTGGGGAATCAGCCCACTCATCAGAATTGGATTTTCTTAAGGCAAAGCCTGCCTGCAATTTGCAACTGAGCATTGGCTCCAGAAAGTAGACTGGCTTCTGAGCACTGTCAGCTTTGTTTTCTTCAAAATGAATGGTGATCAGTGCCTCTCCCTTAAGAGTCTTCCTTATCCCAGAAAAGGGGTGCTGGTACTGTCCTAAGCTGGGCATTTTTCCATTCGTGGATCTAGGTCTTACACGATGCTTATCTTTGTTCAATAGCCTCATCAGGTCTAAAATCAAGCTGAGAGCTCCTAAGATTCTCGCCTATACTTCCTTCCCCTCTTCCTTAATAATGGTCTCTGAGAGCACAGCCTGGGAGCCACAGCCTCAGGTTGTCTACGGGGAGAGGGCCCCACCCTCAGCAAGCCCCGTCAAGAACACTGTTAATACCCTGCGCTTTGTCCTCTCCAGTGGTTGTTTGCATTGGTTGTGTGAGTCAACAACCAGGCTCTCTTGTGGTGTGTCCCAGAGGAGACAGGCTTATTTATTTGGCAGAGCCTGAGACTGAGGGGAGCCAATGGCCCCCAAAACTAGTTTTGGACAATCTTTACTATACAGCAGTAGTTCTTAAATCCAGGGGTCTTTTTGTGGGGATCTGAGACATTTCTATACACACCTTCATGACAACACTGTAGATGATCCTGACTCCCTACCCTTCCCAAGAATCCTTACGGTGTCCACCTCATTTCAAGGAAACGGAAACCATGCCTGACTTCTTGTCAAGGTGCTCGTTGTCCCATTTGGTGAGTCGGAGCATCTAACCGAGTGCTGAACATTCAGAATTCAAACCTGGTGTCCGGTGATGCAGAGTGGCTTGTCTCCCTCTTGGTCATTACTGTTTTAAAACAAACCATCCATCCCTGGGGGGAAAGCTGGCAGTTTTCCTTAGGCCCAGGTGTAGTACAGAACCCCTGAAGCTCCTCAGTTCAAGGAAAGGTGCCTTAGGCAGAAGGCACTCTGAAACCTCCTAACTGTTGTGGGCAGTGATCTGGAGTCCTTTTCTCATCAGTGGCCACGGGCTCAAGACTGAGGTGCAAACCGGAAGATGAGGGATCCCAGGGCAGCCTCGGGCTGTGTCCTCCACCTGGCTCACAGGAAGCTGCTACAGCAATGTTTGCCCCTAGCCTCTTGTTGAATGATGGGAAGAGGGAAAAAAAAAAAAAAAGAAAGGATCATTTGAAGGCTCCAATTCAATTGGAGTTTACCAAATGCCAGGCCCTGGCTACCGTGGAGAAAAGCATTGTGGTGCTGGCTTCGGGAACAAATGTGTCCCCGCTTCTCCTGGAGGCTCTGCCACCCCTGCTGAGGGGGTGGATTTCAAAGCAGCAGACTTCTTGCCCTTTCATGAGGACTGCAAGTGTTCCTGCTTTAGTTCTGAAATGTCCCCCAGTCTCCCTTCCTCTAGAGACCTCCCTAAGGAAAGCTGGTATTCTAGGTCACTGGGATGGTGGGGGATTCATAAACCAAAAGAGGGGCTTCGTCCACAGCAGCGGGGCAGCAAAAAACAGCAGCAGGTACAGTATTGAGAGCTTACGTCGCCTGTTTACAAAATGTTGTAAAATATCTAACCCTAAACGTTGAGGGGGAAGCTACCAAAATCTCTCATGGAGTTTGCCTTTGGCAGCTGAGGCTCAAAGTTGCACGCCTTTCCCATACCTTCCTAATCATGCTTTTCCTCCTTCACAGACAAGCAGACTCTGGCTGCCCCATCTTTCCTTGACACCACAGAGCCTTTCTGTCTAACCCCTCCCCCAGCCCACCCCCCTCCAGCCTGTGAAGTCTGGCCTGCACGCTGGGGAGAGGTAGACAGTAATTAAGTTAGCTGTTAGCTGCTGAGAGCGGACTTGGGTATCCCATCGCAGCTGCCTGCCTCTGTCTCCCCAGCGGCCCTCCCACGTCTTCCTATGAGACCGGCTGTGTGTGAAGGAGGAGCTGTTTCCCACAGCTCTGATCTAATTCAGCTGAAATTCAATCTCCGTGTGACCCACCTCAGCCAGCCCTCTCCCACCCGCCGCCTGCCTCCTGCAGGCTGTGTGTGCTGCCCACTTACGCTGTCGATCCCATCGCCTCCCCTCCACCAACTCCCGGTGTCAGCTTACAGTGTCAGCGGGCCAGCCCCGGGGAACTGCCTACTGCCCGGACGCTCACCCCTCATCTCCAGTGCTCCAAGGGGGATCACTTTATACCTGCCACTCAGCCACTTGAATGGGGCTTGTGAGCAGAGAAAGCAGCGAGCCAGCAGAGGCTGAGACCCTGAAACAGATGTAAAAGACATCAGGCTGGGGGTTCCATGGATCCTCAATCCCCAGAAAGATTTACGATCCTTTTAACCTGCTTCTAACATAGATTGAAACCCCGGGCTTGTGTTATCGTGCGCAAACAAGCCTGACTGTCTATGGAAAACCCACCAGGGTCTGCCCCGAGGTCTGTGGACCCCTGCACCTCTCTCATTGGTCCTGCCACGAACCCCACCCTTTAGCTAACCACTGTATGGGGTCATCTCCCCCAACACTTTTTACAAGTCTCCATCCCTACACTGACCAACACCCCAACACCGAGGATGGCTTGGAATCCAAATAGCGAGCTCAATTTGGGTTTGCAAGAAATGGTAAACCTCTTTTAGAAAGGCTGGTCCTGCAGGGGGCCAAACTGGCCAGTGAGGCAGGGGCCCTGGCACTTGTTAGGCTGTTACCTAATCATGTTATCCTGGATCGGGCGTACTTTCTTTTGACCACAAAAGCTTTGAACTTTGCTTTGCACTTCCTGCAAGGGGAGGATTCCTACCTAGGGGCAGGGAGGCACAGGAAGACCGAGGTTTGCCTGAACTTTTTATAAGCCCTATGAAGCAAAAGGGTAGGGGTTTTACAGAGGCATCATAATTAGGAATGGTGTGTCGAGGCAGGCAAGCCCCTCTTGAACCTGATCCTGCTTGCCTTCACCAGAGGCACATGGGAACTTCGGTCTGGCTTTGTTTCAGGGCATTCATAGAATCCTCCTCATTTCTTAGTGTTTCATTCATTTTGTGGCACACAGTGGGAAGGGGACATACTCATCTTTATTTTTATTATTCTTAAAATAACAGCATAGTCTTCACGAAACACAGATCCCCCCTGCAAGCAACCACACCTGCTTATCTTGTTTGATGTACAGATGAGAATGGACAGGTGAGGACAGAGAGTGTTTCCCCCACCTCCACCCCGCCCCCTCCCCCCCCAGACCCCCCCCCCTCCTTTCCACACACAGCTGCCAAGGGCAGCCCTGTATTTGTATTCAGTCTGGAGAGTTTACAGATCACTGTGTCTCCTCTTTTCTTCTTGGAGACAGTGAGTAGTTGTGCCCAGAAGAGAAGAAAATTCTCAAGCATTTACAAAAATAAAAGCACATTTTTAAACTCTGCCTGGCAGTTAGGCTGTGTCATGGGAAGAGGTGTGAGGGATAAAGAGGGGTGATTTAGTGGGGAGGAAGCTCTCCTGCTTGAGGAACAAGGGGATACCTACAGCCAAGCTCAGAATAATTGTCTCCCTGAGTCCTGAGAAAACTGCCCAAACTGTTAACATGTCAATCTTAAGGAAACAAGCCTGGCCTTTACCGACTTAATTTCATATAATTATTTCAGAGTTTGAGTCTTTACAAGAAAGAGGGAGTGGAGGAGAGAGATCAGAAAATTGAAGGGGATGAACAGAGAAGAAGGAGATTTTCTTTGTTTCGAAGCCTCCTGATTCTGCCCCCTGCCCAGGGCTCACTCCCTCCTTTCATCTTTCATGAGCAAATGCAATGCCCAGCTCACTGACAGCGTGCAGGGCTGCTCTGTCGGCAGGGCTTCAGTCCGGGCTGTCTTTAAGGGATGCTTAATGAAGGCCCCTCTTGTGCCCTGAGCCACAAACACGCAGTGAGGTGGAGCTGTGAGACCCTCGGTCACCCTCCATGCTGTCACCACGAAGACACAAGTCTATCTGAAAATTGCTGGCCCCTAAGAGGGCTCTAAAAAGGAAAACACTTAGAAACCCTTTAAAGGCTACTATCCAACCAAGAAGCAGTCTTAAAAGAGAGAAGTTGTATCTAGCTAGAATTAGCTTTCTGTACTCGTAAGTATTTGCATTGAATCAGTACTAATATTCACAGAAGAGTCAAAGGAACAATATTGATAAATAAACAAAAACCTTGGACATTATTCAGACCATTTCAAATGCAAATCACAGCCAAACATCATGGCCTGTTTCTGTTCTGATTGCACCTGGGAGGTGGGAGCAGAAGAGTTGGGAAGAGAAGGTCATCCCTGACTATATAAGAACTTCAAGGCCAGTCTGAGCTGCATGAGACCCTGTCTCAAAAAATAAACTAACAGGGCCAGGAAGATGGCTCAACAGAAAAAGAGACTGACTGCTAAGCCTACTGACTAGAA